CGAGCCCCGCCCGCCTGCCCCCGCACCGGGCCTGAGCTGGGCAGGGCCCTCCTCTGGGAGGGCCTCTGGCAGCAGCCAGGGATTTTCCAGGGAAAGCCCTCGGTCCGGAGCCAGCCGGGAGCCGGGCCCAGCCTCACGGCCGTCACCCTCTGTCGGGGCGGGCGTGGGCAGCGGCTTCCTGAGGGGTGCGGCCGGCGCTTAGTCACCGCAGATGGAGCCCAGGTTGCTCCCGGCCGTCAGGGCTTTCCTCGGGGTTCCCCGGGCGAGGCCTGGGCAGCCGTCCCCGGGGCTGGCTCCCGCCGGCCACCGGCCGCCTGCCCGGCTGGAGGAACATCCGGCCGCGCTGGGTTTGGCGGGAGCAGCGGCCGGCCGCTGGCGCAGCAGAGGGTGTGCCGCGGTCAACAGCGTCCTCCCCGCAGATTGCGGTGACCTTCGCCATCGTCCTGGGGGTCATCATCTACAGAATCTCCATGGCCGCCGCCTTGGCCATGAACTCCAACCCCTCCGTCCGGTCCAACATCCGGGTCACGGTCACGGCCACCGCGGTCATCATCAACCTAGTGGTCATCATCCTCCTGGACGAGGTGTACGGCTGCATCGCCAGGTGGCTCACCAAGATCGGTGAGTGGACGGGCGCGGGGTCCGCGGGGGTCAGCGCTGTAGCGGCCCTCGGCCCGGGGCCTCTGTGGCCGGTGCCTCCCTGGACCGTGCCCCGCGCTCCTTCCAGAGGTCCCGAAGACTGAGAAGAGCTTCGAGGAGAGGCTGATCTTCAAGGCCTTCCTGCTGAAGTTCGTGAACTCCTACACGCCCATCTTCTACGTGGCGTTCTTCAAAGGCCGGTAGGGTCTGCAGGGCTGGGGCTCTGCTGTCCCCGCTTGCCCAGACCAGCGGAAGGGGCCCTCCCCCGGCCCCCGCACCTGGCTCCAGGGTGCCAGAGCACCAGGGGCCCAGGCAGCAGAGCCCCAGAGAGGAGGGGTCCGGGCAGCAAGTAGCCCCGAGAGTGGGCACCCAGACACTGGGGACACCGGACAGCAGGGTGAGGGCCACGGGCGAAGAGGGCACACGAAGCAGAGCCACTGGCCAGCCGGGCCCAGGCCTGGGGTGGGGGGTGTTCCCTGCGCCTGGACCCTCTGGAGCACCCTGGCCAGTCCTCTGCCCCCTCAGCCCAGCAGGGCGGACCCCAGCCCCTCAGGGTGCTGCTCAGCCCTCGCCGCTCCCCCCGGGGACCCCCCGGAAGCCTCCCTGGGGACAGAGGGCTCCGGCCGCACAGCGCAGCCCCCCGAAGCGCGTCTCTTCCCCCTCCGGGGCAGGGGCGGCCCAGGCCCCAAGCAGCCACTCACTGCCTGTCCTTTCAGGTTTGTGGGGCGCCCGGGCGACTACGTGTACATTTTCCGCTCCTTCCGCATGGAGGAGGTAAGGGCCGCGCGTCACTTCCACTCTGCTCCCCAGTTTTGTCCACACAGCCGACGGGCGAAGCCCCCGCAGCCGCCGTTCCCCCACAGGAGCCCCTTTCTGCTCTGCTTGGGGGGTTGATCTTTTTGGGGTATCAGATAGCAACCACCCCAGATAATGGAAGACAAAACCCCTGAAGCCAAAATCCAAAAGCTGAGCCCAGTTTTTTCTTTCTGGGTAACCTCGACTGCTCCCCGTGGGCTGTGGAGCACGAACGGGAAGATCAGAACTCGGCCACAGCTTTCTTTAAGCTGAGATGCACTTTGCTGCCCGAGCACAGTGCTCTGGCCTCTGGCTTCTCGGCCACCAGCCGGGCACCTGGCCCTCCCCAGCCCCGCCCCTGCCCCTGACTGGCCCTGCCCCGGCCCCAGCCACTGGCCGGCGGCCGCCCCGGGCTGCCCTTCCT